TTTAGACTCTATAATTTATAATTACTATATTTGATTTAACTAATTTATTCAAATATAAATAAATAATTTATTTTTTTTATATTTTAGAAATTCAATATTATTTTTTAAAATAAATTCTAGCGAAGAAAATATTAGTGTGTTTACTTAATTATCTTTATTTATCTTTTTATTACTTTTTTTATTAATTTTACCTTTTTTAGTTTCGCCACAGTTTCGCAAGTTTCGCCAGTTTCGCCATTTTCGCCACCTTTCGCCATTTCGCCATTTTAAATTTTTTTGGCGAAAGTCGAAACTAGGTTTCGCCTTTCGTCTGTGGCGAAACCTCTAAGTTTCGCCTGCCAACATTAGGTATAATCTCTACTACAAAAAAACTTTTCTCGCAAGCTTTAATATGGACTTATTTTGGTAACATAATTTCTTAAAACCTGAATCGATCAAAGGTTTCATACACCAAAAAGTTGTATCGTTCTATTTTTAAAAATTAATAAAAATGAAAAGGCAGTATTTAAAATTAAACATTCAAAGGCTTATTTAATTTTTTTTGATCTGATATACATAATACATTTGTAGTATAATAAATTTTAAGAGATTAAGTGACAACCCCTTTCATTTGCCGCTGGGGTGTGACAATCATTTGTGACAAATAAGCACCAACTAAGTTATTTATATAAATAACTTAGTTGGTGCTTATTTGTCACAAATGATTGGTCACACCCCAGCGGCAAATGGAAGGGATCGTCTGATCTACAATAGACTTGATCATAGTGTTGCATAAAGAATTAAATTATTTCTAAATCGGTGAAAATTTAAGAATAACCCATAGAAAGACTTTAATTTGATTTTATATTAGTATAAGTTTAAAGTACTTTTAAAAAAATAAAACTACACAAAGAATAAATAAAAAATTATATAAAAAGTTTTATTACGGTTGTGGAACTCCATTATTAAAAATTTCATAATTTCCTTTTAGTTTTAAGGACGTTAGCATAATAACGACTTCTGAAAAATAGATATAGAATCAAATTATTATCATGTCAACTTCTTTAAAATAAAAGAGAATTTTGACTATTTCAGTTGTCGAGTTCTACAATCCTAATAAAACTTCTATATACTTTTTTTATTTATTCTTTGTAGTTTTATTTTGTTTTAAAAGTACTTTAAACTGTATAAAAAATATAAAATTAAATTGACTTAAATAGCCATGTATATGAAATTCTTTCTATAAAGAAAGATCTAAATAAATTTGGAATCGACTATTGAAGCAGAACATATCAACTAATCAGAGTGCTTTTATTTAATTTTAATTATTCTGACAGGAACTGATTTTTGAATAATGCCGGGCAGGTTGCTTTATCTTATAGATTTTAAAAGATTAATTTATTTTATTAAAATGCACCATTAAAGAATCAAATACTATCTACATATTTATTTTAAAGTATTCTACATTCTTAGATACTAATATATAAAATAATGCAAATAATATTCAAACTTCTTAATAGATAACTGTGTATAAATAAAAACATAAATTTACCAATTTATTTTAAGATCACATTAGGTATTATTATATTTCAAAAAAGTAATTTAAGATCCGGTTTGAGTTCAAAGTTTTTGAGTGCAAATTTTGCATTGCTAGACAATCCTTTTAGAAAAGATTCTTCAGTTCGTCCGATCAACGCTGAGGGTTTTTTAAACCACATAGTCAACCAAATTGTCACTATTAGAAGACAAACTGCAATATTAAAGAATACTTTTGTCAAAGAAATAATTCGCTGTGTACAAAACAATGTGGTTTCATAGAAAGACTTTAATATGATTTGTTGTTTAAACCGAATTTAATTTTACATTTTTATACAAAAAATAAATAAAAAAGAAGTACTATATATTGAAAGTTTTATTAGGGTTGTAAGACTCTACAATTGAAAATAATCAAAATCCTCTTTTATTTTAGAGGAATTAGCATAATAAAAACCTAATTTTATCTATTTTCAGAACTTTGACTTCTCTAAACAAAAAGGTATTATTTTTAATAGTGGAGTCCTACGACCCTAATAAAACTTTCTATATACCTTTTTTTTAATTTATTCTTTGTAGCTTGATTTTTAAAAAGTACGTTGAACTGTACAAATGATCTAAAATTAAATTGATTTAAACAGCCAATCATATAAAAATCTTTCTGTGAAACGTGATTGTGTGATCAATGCAAAGATAATGTTATTTTATTATTTATTGCTTTAGATTATGTAACAGAGATTTTTGCATAAGACTGTACAGTGTAAAATAGATAATTATTTTATTTTATTTATTGATTTAATACACGTATATAATTTATGCTGTTTAATAAATTTTCATCGGAATAATGTATTTTTAAATTTATAAATGAAATGACAATTTTGAAAATTTAAAAATGACGGAGAATATATATTCAGGTCAAGTTTGATATAAACGAAACTTTATTATTTTGGAATTAAATGCCATGCTACTATTAAAAAAAATCCATGATGTCTATACGCAAGTTTCACTTGGCCTTGGAGTTGCAAATGTCTCAACTAACTCAATGACTGGTAACATATCGTATTCGTCATCAGAATCCAGCACCTTTTCTATATCTAAGTATTTTTTACTAATTACATCCACTGTTTGTGAGATTATAGTTTTAGCGTATAAGATTTCTTTCAAAACAAGGGCGAGTGGGTTGGACACTGTAAGACGACCCGTAACTTCTTGAATTTTCCTGCGTCTAATACGTGTTATATATCCTTCAGGTAGATCAGCAGTGATGATTTGGATACGATTTGCTCCGTGAAGAATTCCGACAGCTTGTAATTTTCTTGAAAGGCTTTCTTTCATATCGCATTCAGATACAAGCTGACAGAGCATATCTTTAAGCATTTTCGATGCCTTTAATGAATCTGATAAATATTTTGATCCAGCTTGACCCTCCCACTTACGCCCAGCCTCAATAATGCCAAACTCCAAGCGATCCTTGTGCAATCTAAAGACACCATCACCTTTTCTACCAACTTTTTTCCGGGTATCTAATGATCTTTTAAAATTCTTTCGGTCACTCGACGCGAGACTCATTCCTTCTCCACGAACTAAGTCAATATTTAAAAGATTGTCAAAGGCAGGATCAATCAAACGCCCCCACACATTTACTTCGTACCAACCCTCTAATTTAGAATGATCGAATGGGTTTTCATCTTTGTTCCATAAAAACATCATTCCTTGATAAGCATAATTAATGAATTCCAAATCGAAATCATCTGACAAAAATGACTCATAAAGAATTTTTCGCAACTTTTTAGGATCATCAACAGAGCAATTTTTCAACAAATCTTTAATGGAAGATTTGAGTTTGGGCTTATCGTTAACTTCTACATTAAAAATTTCCTGCCATTCTTCTTCAAAAAACAACGATTTTGTTTCTGCATCAATATCATTTATTATGAATGAATGCAAATAAGATTCATGAGTTAAATTTCGTGCATAGTCGTAGATGACTTCTTCAACGACACGACCTGAAGACTTAAGGGTCCAAATTTTATTGGGATCCAAGCTATTATAAATAATTTCAAAGTGTGTTTGATCAAATGTTTCATGGTTATTTTCGGATTGGACAGATTTTGCCTAAATCAAAAAATAAAATAATGTTACTATTCATAATATTTAATGCAACAAAAATAAACATTAGTTACCTTAGTAAATTCGGCATAATTTATATTTTGTTTTTTGCGAAGTACTCTATCACCGTTCTAAGAGAAATTCAAAAAAATTATATAGTGACGATAGAGATCTTTCACAAATACATAATTATCGTAAACTAAAAATCTACCAAATTTTCTTGATTTGCATTTAAAACACCTTGAACTTTGAAATAGAAATTTTTGGTTTATTGTTTTTCTCCCATTCTTTAGCACGCTGGTAGTCTGGTCTATTCCCCTGTAAAAAGATAAAGACATTAATTACTTACAAAAAAAAAAAAAAAAGATTTTACTTGCCTTTTTGTATTGGTCATAAAGATTTTGTGCTTTATTTTTTTTTTTTCCAGATCGAAACTCAATATCTGAATTTGGAACCTTCAATCGAGGTTTCAAACCCAAAATCTGTGTTCAAAACCAAAAGCTTA